ACGTGCTAAAAACGTTCAGAACGAATAAGCACGTACGAGAACTTCTAAAAATAACGTCAATCATAGATAATATTCCACATATAAATATGGAAGTAAAATTAAACAAGATACAGGGTTCGATCATTGGAAAATAATTGCAAACGAGATTTTCGACCTGATCAGATAGAATTTTTCTTAGAAGATCAACTCGACGTTTCACGCAAGTCTACCACGGACTTATGACTCCGATAATAATTAGTATCCGCTCAATAAATTAACGATCATGTCTCCTTATTTCTTTTTTCTTTTTTTTTTTTTTTATCACAGAACACGTTTTTTTTGCTTTTTTTGCTTTTCCTTCCCCACCTCCTCTCTTTTTCTTCTTATCTTTTCATAAATCGTTTTAACACTCAATCGTTTTGGTTATTCATAAGAAAAAGAGAGAGAGAGAGAGAAAGAAGAAGATAGTGGTCTTTTTCCCATCATAAATTTATATTTTTCTTTTTCCCATTATAAATTTAGATTTTCAAGTGGAACTTCGAGTTGATATTGCATTGAGGAGAGAAAATGAAGCAAAGGAAAGAGAGAACGAAGGAGAGGAAAAAGAGGTAAGGTGTAAAATGATCGACGAGCCATAATTGATGAAAAGAAATAGTCTACTCAGAAAGGAATTTTTTTATAAAAGAAAAGAAGACATTTAAAGACGTTCCTTTAAAGAAAAGAAAAAAGACAAATCTATAAATCAAATAAATAAATTTCAATAATAACAAAAATATACTTGGTAGAAAGTATCATTAAAAAAAAAAAAAAGGAAAAACAATAAAAGAATTGAATACACTTAATAAATGAACATGTTTTTTTTACTTAAATTCAACAAAACGGTGATATCTCGAATTTATCAGAATTGAATGCATTCGTTTCGCCGTTATAATTAGCGAGAAAAGAAAGGGAATAGGAATAGGAATGAAAGAGAAAGAGATAGAAATCATCGTTAAAATAAAGAGAAGAAAAAAAAATAACGAAATTAGACGATTTATCTTAAATTACAGGCGATAACGGAATAGAGGAAGAAGTCATTTTTCTTTGAGATACTTCAAGAGGGTTCGTCGCACTACACCAAGCCACGTCAACGACGTGGGTGAAATTACTTCAACGACTAATATTTTAACTCGACCCATTTCTCTTTCTTCGCGACACAAATGCCGCTTGTCAACAAGAAATCGCTCGCACAAACTACGACCCGATTTAGCACAGAAATGAAAGTACAAAGCAATTATAAAAAAGTATAGTTTAAAAATCTCTTACATTTCTTATAATATTTGTTTGAAAATTGATCTATATATAAACGTTTATTAATATATGGATATAAATAAAATTGGTTCTATTTTCGATTTTACATATTATTTATAAATTATTATAAATGAGTAATAAATTTTGTCTAGTAAATATGGTCGCATAAAATAAATTCATTATTCTAACAAAATGTATATCTTCATAGAAATAGAAAACAATTGTGTGTCGAAATTTTATAAATATCATCTATGCTGTTTAATAAATATATAATACATATTCTCTCTACCTAGGTTTGATATCAAATATTAAATTTTGTAATATATATCATTAAACAATCTTTCAAATAAATATACAAAACAAGAAACAGAAATTATTAAATACTCGAAATAAGCCATCGTTAATATTAATAATTTCTTATCATTTAGTATGATTTCGATAAGACGGCAAGAGATTTAATGAAAAATGAGATTATTTTTTAAATAGAAATTGTTCGAAAATATAATAGCATAAGGCTATTTAGATTGTCGGTCCATTGGTACCATTTTTCAAAGCATGTTCGAAACACAACACGATACCTGTTTAACCTCAAGCGAAGGGTAAACGAAACGAAACTAAACGAAACGAAAGGCAGGTACAAACGCACGAAAGTAAGGTCCAATTATCCGATCGAAATCTATCCGAGTTCCATGGAGGAATTAAAATCCACGGGGCACCGACACAAATACCTCAACGTGGCCGGCCAACCGATCGATACCACCTAGTCGTCGAACCGCGAGAACCTTTCGAAATCGGAAGTAAGTAGTAGTGGTCGATCGTAGTCGGCCTTGTCAGCCTCGTTTACAGCCTCCGGAGGTAAAGTAGCCTAAGAACGTTTGAACCGTTGGAGAATTTCTTTCCGAGCGAGTGCCCCGTGGAAATCTACGTAAGATCGAACGAGCATGCGATCGAACGACCAACTCGACTACTTCGAACTTTCCCTGAAACCGACGTGGCGTTAAGTAACGGCACTTTTGTCAGAATAACGCTGCTGTTTCAATTGCTGCCGCCGCCACCGCCTCTATACTGGCAAAACCTTTGGGCACTTGTGCTTACTCTTTCGTCAATAATTTGATTTCGATTTCCAATCTTTATTTATTTCTTTTATTTCCCCCCTATTTATTTATTAATTATTTTATTATACGCGAACGTAGAAAATTTTAATTCATACTTAACTTGGGACATCGAAAGAAATAAATAAACTATTATTACTATTAATTAGTATTACATCCTTATAATTCTTTTTAGTTATTTTATTTTAATGCATAGGATAGTTTGATAAATTCTTTTAATAGCTATTTAAATGTTTTATATCGTATTACGAGTAAAATATTGGATAGGAACATAAAACGTTTATGTCGAAATATCCCACAATAACAAAAGCAAAGATTTATCTGGAAGAAAATATTTCGCATCAAGTTCAATTATTACATCCGTGGAATACGATCGTTGTCGTAATTAAAAAGTGTCGATTCTCGTGATTCATGAGAACGTACATGCCAGATGGATATAAACTTTGCTCGTAACCCATTAAACTTTCATGTCTAATAATACCGCACTACCAAGATTACGATGATGGGAATAACGAACGAATACAAAGAGAAATAAAAATGAAAAGAAAGAGGAGAATTAAACGCGAACGATTACGTTTTTAGTTTCACCGAGAAGATCGAAAACGATTTAACCGTAAATTATAACAAATGAACGAATACATACAAATGTATTAACGTACAAAATTGAGAGGAATTAAATACGAAAAACAAAATAAAACGAAAACTAGAGGAATAAAAATCGTCCAATTTCTCCAGGGTACATTTAATCGTTCGAAGGAGAGAAGAATGACAAAAATCGATTTTAAATATACTGCATTCGAATAAACGAATACGAGAGATCGTTATTATGGTACTTTGCTGTAATTAAAACTTCCGGTTGCGAGTTTATCCTGCATAGCGGCTACCTTTAATGTTCTCGATGAAGTAACAACAATATGATCTTGCGTACGCAGCACCTACTTGTTTCTCAAGTTAGCGTAAAACAGCAGTATGAGCATTAGATTCGGTAACTTTATATAGGCTGTCTTGTAATCAGAGCTACACGTGTGCAACCTAAGTGTGTATATTTATTCATATATATATTTATAATATCTACAAGCGTGAACGATTTCCTGTCTACACTATATAAACACACATAAATATCATTCCTGGTATTTAATTTTCAAAAGATATACTTCATAGATACGTCTTTGGAGATACTTAATTTCTTTTTTTCTAGTCCTATTAATAATTGAATAGTTTTAATAATAATATTAACTAGTGTATAATTAATGAAAAAATGGTTAAATTCTTAATTATATATTGTGTGTAAATGTTTTTAGTATGAAAATGATATTATTGGGCTATTTGCAGTAGATTTAAATAAATTACGAATTTTACATAAAAAGATATAATTAAAGATTAGATATTAAAAATTCATTACTAGAAATGAATCGTATTCATCCGGTTGCGAATAGTGTTTGTTTGTAAAATGTAATACTTGTTCTTCTTCCGATTATACAACGTTCGATGTAATGGTCCCCCTAGTGGAAGTTCCCTGTCGTATGAAAAGAAGAAAAAAAGGAAAGTAAAAAAAATATCATGTAGGGAGATCACACGTGTTAGAAGTGAAACCTTCGAAAAACTAAGTTTCGAGAGAAAGAGACGACTGCAGAATATCAGGAGTAGGACAATTGTTGGGTTTATTTGTTATATTATTATTATTATATTATTGTTATCACATTCAAAAATTATTATACGTTTTATTGAAAACAAATATAAATAGATAACATATTACACAGCAAGCAAGTTCTCAATTCAAAAAAATAAGACAAGTTGCTTTTGATAACTTAAAAATGCATGGTAACAAAACACCTCTGTTAGTCTAGTAAAAACCTCACTACTTTTCGGAAAAAACCTCACTACTTTTCGGAAAGAAANAAACCTCACTACTTTTCGGAAAAAACCTCACTACTTTTCGGAAAAAACCTCTAAGTACCTTGTATGTAGTACCAAAACCACTAAGTAGTTTAAACCACAAGTCCTATGTTTGTCTCTTTTTCTCTCATTATGTAGTATGGCAGCCGTTTCATAGCTTCGTTACATAGCTCCGTTTCCGTTTATTCACTTTTCAGATCACTCCCATTCTAAAGAAGTTTTCACTTCAATAAAGGTTCGCTTCAAGATGTATTTTCAGAACGATCAGCGAACAGTAAAAGAATAGACTTTTCGATCTTGAAATCTCGGAAGCGAAAGAGCCCGAATAATTTCTAGCTTTCGTGGATTTTGAATTTGTAACGTGTAGAAAATCTAGGACACCGAGTTTGAAATATTTACGAAGACACTTTGGACATTGCTTTACTATCGATTACGCGAATGTCTTCCCAAATAGAGTATAGATTATAGCGGAAAGCTACGTTTATCAAGAAGAAGGATCGATGCTCTCTGAAAAAGGATTTATTTTGTTTCAGAGTGAAAGCGCTCCAATTCTTTTCAATTTTCTTCTCTTTGTTACTCTACATTTAAATTTATATTAAATCATTCCTATTAATTGTTAATCAAAAAGTTACTCGAATATTAGAGAACGTTAATATTAACACATTAACATGAAATTTTTTAATATGAAATAGATTCGAATGATAAAAAAAAAAAATAACTTACCTTATCGCATCGTAGCAATAAAATAATCGCATTAGGATAACGCAAGGGACCTCCTAAACCTGAGCCACCTTCCATTCGTTGTTTTTTTAAAATTTCGCTATGCGTTATTCCGCATTGCTCGAAAACTTCCAAAGATCTGTAAGAAAATTAATAAAAACAAAGAAGTATAAAATAAAAAGGAGAAAAAATACGCGTAAGATTTGAAAATGAATAAAAATCGTTCTCGTCAATTATAATTATTTAAGGGTAACGTAATATTTCATAAGGACACTTATATGAAAAATTTCTACAAAAGAACTCATTTTCATTTATTTCTCAAAAATAAGACATTCTCATTTAAAAGTAAGATCTAATTTCGACGTTCGAAATGGTGAACTATTTTCCGTTTCACGTTTAATAAAAGATAAGCATTGGAAATGGGAGCTGACGGAGTCTTAAGCCAAAATTAGCGACTCTGTCCTTTCGCGACCTGGCTGCCTAAATCATCTACTATACATCGTCTAATTTCTACCTCGGATAAAGAATTATGTACCATCAATAGTTCAAAACATTGCCCTTTTTTCTATTTTTGTGAAGATTCAAAATACAGACTTTCAACATTTTACAGAAAAACAAATGTAAAAAAAAAAAGAAAAGGCAATGAAAAAGGAGAGAACCCATTTAACGATCCGACCCGATTGAAATGGAACGGGTAAACGACCGACCAGCGTCAATCCTCCTAAATTTATTGGCCTAGGTTATAGAGACCTCCTCCTCCTCCTCCTCCTCCTCCTTCGCTTTGGAAATCGTACGTTCTCTGACATCATCGATAATAGCAACGTCTCTTTCTCTCCTCGTACACATTTTAGTCTCATTTCTCTGTTAAAGTAGGATACTCAGTAAAAAAAACCGCGTCGTTTCATCTCATTTCAACCGGTTGGAAATTTCCGAGTTTGTTTTCCTACCATAATACTACCCTGCATGTAGGATATTCGAGAAATAAGCGAAAAAATTTTCAAAAGTCGATTATAGATTATATTTTATTCGTCATAGAGTATTTTGAAAAAACGAGATAAAACTCTTGCTTTTTTTTTTCTTTCTTTCTTAACTTATGTTTGATATTAATGAAATTAAGAAAGAGTAATGAGAAATAAAGAAAAAGATAAATTTATTGGGTCATGCAGCAGATGAAAATTGAATTCAGTTGGAGAGATATTTTCAACGTATAAGGAAACATTCATTTTTGGGCTCTCTTTCGTTCCCATGAACGTTGGAAAGAAAGTCTTCCGCCTCGAGTTACTCCGAAAAATTCGAAGGTTGTTTGGTTGGACTCTGAGATCAAGTCGTCCTCGATTTCAGCTGTCGTCAAGAATCGACTCCTTGGGAGTCCTCCTTGAGAGTCGTCGTACGAGTCGCGTGTCGTCCGCTCACCGATCGACATCAACGAAATCCGATCAGCTGCTGGAATCCGCCAGCGACAAGCAAAAGGAGCCACGTTATAGGAATTTTTCGAAAGCGTTTCTTCGATCTCACGTTGCTTCTACCTTCGCATGTTTCTCTCTTTGCTTTTTTTTTCAAAAAAAAAAAAAAAAAAACGTTCTTTTTTTCTTATTTATTTCTTTTTTATTTCTTTTTTATTTCTTTCCCACTACTTATTTAAGGAACATTTCTAATCAAAATTAGATATTCAACGAATTTCTATGTACATTTTGAATGTTAATACATTTATAATTCATTCTTTTTAACTTCTTCTGTGATATCTAAAGTGAAGAAACTGTCTTGTCAAAAGTATCTTCTCGTTTATACAAGATTCGATAATTTATTCTATTTTCAACATTATTTACATCATGATGATTAGAAAATTGATAACCTAAACATCTGTCCTGAGTGTTCTATCTTTCTTCCAAATCGAAAAATTTTGTCTTTTACAAAAATGTTTTATAATTAATACCTAAATGTATAAATACTAATACAAATAAAGTTGAGTATTCGATAAAATTGAATACCTTCAATTTATTGTAATATTATTACATATAATTATTGTATTATTACAATATAATTATTGTAATATTACAATAATATTTCTACAAATATATTATTATAGATCGTGTTATATTCATTAAAAAATTAAATAACAAAAAAATTCAATGATGTGTCGATCATTAACCAAATATTTCGTTTATTTGTAATGATTCGTAAGAAATTTAATTAGAAACGTATTATAACGAAATGGTTAATCTTAAGCAACGTTTTCAATGAATTAATTACACATCTTAAATTTAATCGACTCGAGTAATGAGAAAATAAATAGTATAGAGAAACGTGTTAGTTTGGCAAACACGCAATTTCCAAAAACGCTCTCGTTCGGATGGTTTTTGATTAATTAAACGCTGACTCTTGCGAAATGTCGAGAAGAAAAATATCGGTATCTCTAAACTCGAACTCTTTGAAGGCAACTTTATCATCGATTCTGACCCATATCGATATCCCCAGGTCCTCGTTTCGTTCGTTCGTTCGTTCGTTCGTTCGTTCGTTCGTTCGTTCGTTCGTTCGTTCGTTCATACATTCATTCGTTCGTTCTTTCTCTCCTTCGAGCTACAAGTCGTCCAACAACGTTGTTGTGTAATCTCTCTCAGTGGCCGTGTAATCGGTAGGAATTGGAAAAGGCGCGAGGTGGGAGGGCTATGCCAAGTGAATGGAAAAGTCGACTTTCTCTCGGACAACTTAATCCACGAATACACGTCTTTTTAACGTATTCCTCCCACGACAGTCCAGTTGCTGATTTTCTGCCAATAATGATAAAAAAGGACTTCTTGTCTCATCGAATTTGCCATTTGACGCATCAAACGCTTTTATTTTACACCATGACTAATTCCAACGTATTACTTACTTTATTTCTTCTCTGAATATATATATATATATATATGGAGAAAAAATTCATCATAAATCGATCCCATTTCTCGCAATGGGGTCCCTTTTTTAAATACATTTGTTATCATTTATTTACTGTTTTCTAAATATACTAATTACAGATCATAGCAAGAGTGTACCTCAAAAGTGAATTTATCAAAATTGAAATATTACAAATATATTATTTAAAATAAATCAATGATCTTCTTTTACAGATACTTTTTAACGTCGCTACTATGAAAAGATATATAAATAAATTATTTGAACAAAAGTTTGAACAAAAGCGTATATATATATACGAAGCAGTAGAAGACAAAGTTAATAATTATGTGACGAGAATGTACGCACATCTTCGTTAGAGGAAAGTGTCTGCGACCAGCATACCAACCACGGAAGCATCGTTTAACGTTGGTACTATTATTGGAGTGCGGGTGGAATTACGTTACCCTTGTCTTTTATTAGCCAACCGCGGTCGCTCCACCGAGCAACGAGGAAGTCGACGAAGACGAACCAAGTCAATTCTTTTCTCTCTCTCCCTCGGTGTTCGACTTTCTTCCCACAATTCTAGCTCCCGCGGGATGACTAACGTCTGCCGGTTTCTTTGGCATCAATCCAGGATCACTCAGAAGGGAAGATAGATTTTAGCCACGACGCTTTCTCGTCTTGGCTCAACCTTGGCCAAGCAGGTACTCCTGTCATTGCCACGTGGAGTCTGCCTTCCTCTGAGAGGCCACTGCTCTTTCCAAGTTTCATTTTTTTCTTTTCTTTTTTTTCAAGGTGTACCGATTTCCTTCTTGCGATAGCAAATGCCACCGGCACATAGGCTTTGGAAAACCCTCGAGACAACGCCATTTCTTTTTTTCTTTTCTTTTTCTTTTATTTTTATCTTTTTATCATCCTACTTTTCTCTACTTTTTACTTGTCCATAAATTATTACATATTATAGCTTATTTGACTTGAACGCGTAGGAGTCGAGTTGAAGGACAACAGATGACAGTGTATTTTTGTAAATTCACATTTTTATTATTTCATACAGTTTGAAATTGATGACACAGAGATCTTTCTTCTATCTCTACGCTCTTCTTTATTTCTTCATCTTTTCTATGGCGCTACTTGTCTATTTTAATTTTCAACTCGCTACATACTTATCAAGTTTAGAAAATGTTTCTTCTCCTTTTTATACGTAGAATAATGAAGTTATTAATAAAAATTATAATTTAATATTAGGACAAAGCATTAGTAGCAGCAAATATCATTCAACAAGAGCAAGAGTAACAAAGAAACGAATAGTTCGTTTCAACCACTCGACAAATTATCTAGACTTTATATTTTTAGAAAATGCCATCCTAACTATCATAGAACGTTCAAAATAGATAGCAGTACTTCTAGCGAAATAGCACCGCTAGCTAGAAAATCTGGATCGTCGCCTATACGTACGATATACTATAAAATTAGTTTCTAAAGTATATCATAAATTAATTATTCTATATTTTAAACAAAATATTTCGGAATTTTATGAGACAATAGATAAAGTAAAAATAAACGATTATTAATCAGTGTAATTACTATTAATGTAATTTTATTTTTTGTTTTATATTTTAATGTATATTGGTAGTTTATTTTATTAAAATTTATTTTTATTTTATCTATTGTCTCATAAAATTTATAAATATTTTGTTTAAAATATAGAATAATTAATTTATGATGTACTTTAGAAACTAATTTTCCGGTGGCTTATGATCCATAAATTGTTATATATTTTTGCTTGTTAAATAGGATCGGACCTTTAAAGATATTATAATGCATATAAAATTGTACAAATATTTTACATTTCTTTCAGATTTTTTAAATTATTGTATTATTTGTACTCTTATTTTTTTTTTCGTGAAATATATATACAAGATGTATCAAGATCTAATAACTATTGAATCACAAAATCAAAGAGAAAAAATAGTTTTACATCAAATCAAACAAAACAAAAAAAAAGAAATTAAAACAATATCTAAACACAAAAATATTCACAATGAAAGACCTTAAACAAATGTTATCTCTTTCTCTCCCTCATTACTCTCTTTTTCTTTCTTTCTGCGAATGGTTATCGCAAACTCATGAACACGTTGTACGTACACGGCAATAGGAAGGATTTATCGCAACGAGTGTTCACCTGTAAAAAAAAAGTCGAGTGGAAAGTGGCCTTTTGCACGGAGCCGCTCGTAAAATCCTAATCTCGTATTATCTGCCGCGTAC